CCGAGGTAGCAGCCCTGGACTCGGCACCAACTATGACAACTTTTAGTCCTTTTATTAACCTCACACTAATACAAGCTTTTACATGTAGGATTTAGGAGGCCTGTTCGATTGAGACTGTGATAGACTACGAATGTGAGCTTAGCGCCACGGAAAATGCAAAGCATGACGGACTTTAAACTCGCTTTGCCTCTCGATACAAAACTCTTCGACTGACCACAATGTCAAACAAACCACACGAAAAGTCGACTCCCTGGATAAACTACCCATCAACCGGAACCAACACTGTCTCAAGAAATATCGCATTCAATGATGCAGTCGCAGTCGAGATTTCTTGTCCTAGGCCAACCCGTAATAAGCTGTAACCTCTAATACGCCGCCCTCCCCAAACGGAAATGCTAAGAGGTAGAAGAGCATGCTACTGCCTCTAATTCTAACTGTGGGTAATAGCCTGCACTCCGTCGGTATCCAGCTAGGTTACTAGGTGGAAGTGGCGACTTATGAATAAGGTCTTACTGCACTCTTACTGCAGGTCGAACGTCCATCGTGAATCCAGGTTGTGAGGATATCAAGCGAGTACTGGCGATGTTACCTATAATATACTGCTGACGAGGCTCGAGATTGGGTACCAAGGGATGATTGTGTTTCGCAACGCGATCGGTGAGCGCCCGACAACCGTATTTAATATACCCGATAGGACAACGAACCCCTGGCTCAATTATTAAGGTATTGCATTTGTAACTAACAAATCTGGTGCTGCAGTACCTGGAGTTGGCGATCTCTGGCTGATAACGGCTAGTACGCCGGAATTGGCCACTCCACAGCGTCTCTAGTTTTGTCAGTTATCTCGGCAGGACTGATTATAGAGGCCCCAAAAATGCCGTCAACTTATAAATAAAAAGCACTTTTACAGGTTCAATAGCCCGGCTTTTAATCTTTTCGTTCAATTCCACCAATAGGTGGACAAATTTCCATTTTCGTTAAATTCCGCCTACATAAGGTCGAATTCCGCCTAATTGGCATTCGTAGCCTGCGCAACAGAAGTTCATGTTGATCGAATTTTATTCTGTTTTAGCATATTAAAACAAACATAATCTTATGTAATTTAATATTTTTTGATCACTTCCGCCACAATTACACGTTAATTTAAGCTCGCTAACCATTAATTAAATGTTTGACCACAAAATACGTTAAGCAGGTGGGCGGGGGGGATAGATATCTAGAGGGGTCCTATAAATTATTTTTGTCGTTATCTCTTTCTCCCTATGACATACTAGCTGCTGACTGGCTGGGTTTTAGTCCCAAGACCAAACGGAATGAGTTGCCCCCCTAGCGAGCACCTAATAGAAATTTGGTTTCGATTGATGAGCTTCTGTTCAGTTCTCGGTGTTTGCCTGTGTCCGCAGTTGAGTCTTGCTCCCAGGACGTGGGTCCTCGGTCTCCTGCTGCCAT